TGGGAAGGGAAGCCAGCCTTACGAATTTCTCTCTCTCGGGACTATCTAAAGAAAAATATTCCTCGTATGCAAAAATCCTGCTAATCCCAGGCATGATTCATGCTGGAAATGTCTAAGGATTAAAGAAAACAAAACCAATACACTGCTTTGTGGTGCTTCACTATTTCAGGCTACGGGTTCTGTTGTTAAAATGTGCAGACGCGCCCCGACGCAAAGGGTCACCCGCTGCACGAAGGAGGGAAAGGGAAAAAGACTGCACGGCGTCTCTGCATCACAACAATTACGTGGGAGGCAGCGCATTCAAAACTAATAATAGGAAATGTTTTTTCACACTGTAATTAGACCACGAAACCCATAATCACCCTAAGAGTCTAACAAGGTCTGCAAAGGAACTGGTTGCCTTGAAGAGCCTGCATGGCCAACGCGTGGGCAGCAGCCAGACACGTTTGCTTGAAGCCCGCTTCGTACTTTCCCAGAAAGCTCCCTGGTCCTGGGAAAAGCGTAAAACCCAGATCCTGCGCCTTCTGCAGCGAGGCATCCCGCTCCGAACGACGAGCAGGCTGCAGCCTCTGACCCAGCAGGGACTGTCGGGGCCATGCGTGGAGCCGACCGGATTTCAAGCAAATAACCTGAAAACCAAACTTTCCCCCCACACGAGGGGCTGGACCCGTTACTGGCCACGGGCCTGAATTACCAGCAGAGCAGAGGGAACCCAGAGGAGCGGGGTGAGCGGTGCTCTGCTGCGGCGGGCACAGCGTGGACGGCTCCCGCGGGGGCTCACAGCGGCGACGCGCAGCCCCCCTGCTACGCAGCAGAAGGCCTCCGCCCCGACGCGCGCGCTCCCAGGACACGCGCAGGGCGAGATGGTGAAGGAGGTGTGGAGAGGCCGGGAGGCAAGCGGCGAGGTGGAGAGGAAAATGCAGGGGAGAGGAGCAGGATTTAGCTTTAGCCTCTGCTTTTCCAAGCTGACTTGACCTGACTCGACCATCTGGCTGCTTTCAGAATGCTCAGCTAGAGAGCGGCTCCCAGCATTCAGCTCATCCCGCACGGCCAGTTCTCCGAACCAGGGGGCCAGGTACTGCCTCCGCTCCCCAGCGTGCACGCCTGGGCGCGAGGACGGGCAGCTCTGCCTGCACGGGGCAGACAGGGCCAACACTGCAGGCAATTCCACCTCGAGTCTGTGAATTCCAGCTGATCTGTCACCTGCTGGGGTACCCCAGTAGCCCCAGGAGCTCGGGAACAGAATACTACTAACAACCCACACAGTGAAAAATAGATCGCAAAGGAAAATATTTTTCTGTGTGCTGGCCCAGAAATACATGCAAGGAGCTTCTTAAAGAACCTCTCCCTTTATAACAAGTTAAAATCCAGGCAGGGCATATGCGGGAACATCACTTCTGGAACAGAACTGAATGCTCTCCAGCCAAAAAATGTCTTCAAAAATGCAGCAAACAATGTGGATCCAGAACCCGGCCATGGGACACGTATTTTCGCACAGCAGAAGCTGTTGGCTCGGTACCTCTCCGACCTGCCGCATCCTCCCCCAGACCTCAGCCTGGCAGTCAGAGCAGGCTCTCGGAGCGGGCCCCGGCTCGCCGCGCTCCTCAGCACAGGGCAGGAGCCTCCCGAAACCAGAGCCGCTCTCCCACTCGGATCTGCCCAGGCACCCCGTTCTGCGGCAGTGCCTTAGCCCTCTGCC